AGACAAAGCTGTTGTGGCCCAGAGACCCCATCAGGATCTTGAGAATAAATAATTTTGAGCAGCACAGTTGATGGCAGCATCAAATATGTCTGAAGAAGCCACCTTTTTGAAGTGTGCTGGACCTTCTGAACCAGGTATGTGGTTTTGTGTGCAGTGTGTCTAGTTCCTATCTGTGTGTAGTAAGGTTTCTTGGGAAAAGATCTAAGCGGTGTTCTAGTTCGTATCTGCTATGGTCTGTATTGGTTGTGACCACTTACAATGATGAAATGCAGAAAATGGCAAAGCAACAGAACTCTTGCAGGAAAGTTTATAGTAGGTACTATACTTCCAGCAGGTACATCATGTTTATAGTGTGTATACCAGTGAAGGATACTTGTTACAAAATGGACTTGAATAAAAATATATTAAAGCAAGGCTGAGTACGTTATGCAAAATCACATAATAGAAAACTGCTATTTGTGCTAATGGTTTTGAATGCATTGTCAGTTCTCTAGTGGTTTGATCACTAGTCTATGGAGAGGAGCCATGAAGGAGTTCCCTATCCAAGGATTTTTGTTGAAAGGTTTGGGGGAGATTTTGGATAAGGGTGTGATAGAATATTTTGGCTATACACTATAGTGGTGCCTATGCCATTAGTTTGATAGATCTTAACTGTGCGTTGTGTATAGCCTGTTATTTTCCTAAACTTCTCTAATTTACTTCTAAATTAAAAGATATTGGATTGCAGTTTTTTCTACCAAGGAGAAAATACTTCTACATGCTTCAGCTGTTAGGTAGCTTAACATTTGCACATGCAGAATGTGTTCTTGTGGTTGTAGTCAATTGAATTAGTGTGTCTTAAGTTTACTCCTGTTAGTAACAGTAGTAGACAAACGTTTGCTTTGTTTTGATTTGTGAAAGTAAGGTGCTAGTATGAATTTAACTTGAATGCTGGTTGGAAACTAGTACTTGTTAGTGTTAACACATTGAAAGCTTTCTAAACTTTGTCTGAATCTTCTGAAATAAACTCGGAAATTGTTTCTGTTTAATTCATTAACTACAGAAAGTACTTCCTTAAAAAATAGAATTGACCTGCTTTGAGTTCCTGATGCCCTTCAGAATTGTAGGTGTAGTTAATTGTAAGATGCTAAGCAAGCCTTCCTGTTTTTTCCAGTCAATTGATTTCTTAACTGACTGAAATAGCTGCTAACTAGTCAAATTAGAATGAAAATATGCTGTCCTCAAAAGAGATTTCTGTAGCCAAAAGCTGGATTACAGGTCAGCAGACTGTCTGGTTCTGGTTGTAAAGCCAGTGATTTTTATCTTTGCAGTGATTTTTCTTTATTCTTCTTTTTTATTTTCTTTAAAATCTAGCGGCCTAGGTACTGTTTGTCATATGAATAGTACGTAGGATTTTAGTCACCCACTGAGAGTGGGTATAGCACTCTCAGACCTGCAACAGTCGTCAGTTGTTGCAATTTTTAAATCCAACAGTAAAAAAGCCTAGCTCCTTCACATTCATGGCTTTGTCCTTCCACCAAATAATATAACTTGATGCAGATGTTCCTGTGGTGTGGCTTTCCCATGTTCTTCAGTTCCTCGATTTAGGGAGCTTTATTCCTCCTAGCACCTAGTGTTCAAGATGGAGAGAAATAGTAAACTTCTACGTTTATGACCAAGAAACTAACATGTTTTAAGCATGTTTTGTCTGTTTCTCCTACTCCTGCTTTTGGGTAAAAGGAACACCTGGTCTTAATACAGTCTTCAAGCATCAGTTGTTTCCTCTGGTGCTTTTAATCCCACAACTGAGTAGTCTGGTGCAACAATCAATATTTAGGATTGCATAGGAAATTGCTGTGTTTTATTCTTGATGTAAGTAGTATGGTGTATACTGTGCGTAAGCCTTAATGACTTTCTCTGTATTTCTCATTTCAGAACCTATTTGGTAGCAAGGCCACAACTGGGAAATGTTGGTACATCCATTGTGCGGAAGGAATGTGACCCGTCTGGGAATGACAGAAGCCAAGTGCTTGATAAATCACAGCTCAGCTTTCAACAGTTGGGAGAATGTGAGGGGAAAAAAGTCTGAACGAAGACAAAACTTAAATAACAAGACAAACTTAGGCAGGAAGACTGAGAATTCACCAAGGGCCATCTCTGATTAAAGAAATGAGACTACAGAAGAGACATTTGAACTTCTGATGAAGTTCTTGTTAGGACTACCAGCAACTTGCAGTTAGTGTAAACAAAGTCTGGTCATTTTCTATGTTGGCACATCTTGTTCAGGTGGCTTCCATTGTTTTTTGCTGAAGAGGATTTCAGTAACTCAAGTGGAGGGTGTCAGCTAAATTTAGTAAATCACTGACGTTGACATCTCTTAATGTCTTGCATCTGAAAATACATAAATGCTGATAACACTTGATGTAGCTACTTTGTTTGGATCTCAAATCCTCAACCAGCTGAGGAATCAGTGATAGTAGGTTAAACAAATATGCTTCCTGGTCGTTGGGACCATCTAGCCCTCTGTTTTATTCCATGCGAAACAGAATTGGTTTAGGTATGTCTAAAAAAACCCCAAACAAACAAAAAAAAATCAAAAAAACAAAAAAAGGTGGCCGTGTCAGCAGCATTGCCACTTCAGCTGTTGCAAGACCTGAGAGCTTCTGCTACCTGTGGATCCTACCCCTACCCCCGTTTTCTAGGGTTGGACAACAGATGAAATGGTACTGTGAGGTACACCAGCAGTCAATCCACCTTGCTTAGCTCTCAGAGCCATGTTCCACCAGCCTTCCCTGCATATGTTCTGTCTGTAGTTGAATTATCATCTGAGTTCATGAACTTCAACACTGTGGGAAGCAATCCCCCTGAAGATGAAATGTCCTATTTGTACACTGACTTTGTCTTTATGTCAAAGGATTTCTAATACTTACTATTTGTTAGAATTAACTTCTGAAATGTTGTTTCTGTGCTTACTTGCCTTCCTTGCTCCTTAAATACACTATCTCCTCTGTTATCATGTCATACATATATAGGTAGGAAAATCATCTATCACTTCTTAGGATTTGGTTTCTGATTTATTCTTGGGATTCAAGAGGTGCATGCAGATTCATTTATAGCTCCTGAAAGTAAGATATCCAGCTACTCCTTAGAAGCATTAAACATGTCATAAGAGTGACAAACACACATATGAGACACTTCATATATAATACAGATCTACAGTATCTAGCTGGAACTTTTGATGATTCTGTTGCTCAAATGAGTGCTGTTATCCATGGTGGCAAATCAACTGCTGCTACTTCAGGATTGAAATTCTTATTCAGGCAGTCTCGTACTTTATGCTGCAATGAAGACATTTCTCTTCCCTGATTCTGAAGTTGCTGTTTAGTTGTGTGCTGTCCCAGCAGTTCTTGTGCTCTCCTGTACAAATACAAGCTACTAGTTTTACTGTGGACAAATAAACGTTCTCCTCAGGGTTATGCTTGAGCTACCTGGTATCTTTCCTGACTAATGTTCAGGACCTCCAGTAGAAAATAGCTGTATAGAGAAGGAACATACTGCGTGACTTGCTTCTCATTTGAGAGTATGCTCTGAATGTGGCTATACTTGGCAAGAAAGAGGCTGATGAACTTTGGCAGTGTTTGCTGTAATTTTCTTAGACCTTCAGGAGCCTTACTGAATCTCCTGAAAACTATGAATTCATTTCTTGCGCAGTACCAGAGACCAGCACACTTGCAAGCCTTGCCTTGCATAGTATGGGATGTGGAGAAGGAATTAATCAGTGAAAGGATGGATTGTGGCCATGATACCACATCACTTGATGCAGGGCAAGCCACTCTATTATTGAACTACATCTGCTTATACTGGTGTGCTTGTTTTCTTCCATTTCTACTTGAACTCAACTTGACTGTGATGACTGAATTAACTCTCTTTGCTGAGCTTCTCTTCGCTAAAACAAAACAATGTCTATTCTTTTTTCTACATGATTGACTAACACAGGCTTTGAGCAGCTCTTTGAATAAAATGAAATGCCTTGCAGAATTATTCTGCATCTCTGAAGTACATGTGTACATGTGTTAAAACTCAAGATATATTGGCTATATTTATAATATATTGGCTATAGCTGATCTCAGATGACCTTACTGACAGGTCGTTGCTGTTCATCAGGTGCATTGTGAAATCTGTATAAGGTGTTCAGTGTTACTTGTGAATAACAATTTAAAAAAAAATGTTAACAGTTCTAACTGTGATTCAAGGGTAACATGATTTCTACCATTAACAGATGACAGTCAGGAAAAAGTTGTATATTTTTTTATTTTACTTGCACACTGAAACCTTTTGGTTATGGTAGTATAAGCAAAGAACTTAGTTCAATATATTGGTGAGTTTAATTTCTTTATCTTGAGTCTTTACCTTAATGCACATCTCCTTTACTATTCTTATTTTTTACTTCATCTCTTTTTATTTGAGATCTATCTTTTTGTATACTTTCTTCTGTGTTTAGCATTACTTTATTTATAAAGTGTGAAATCTAACTTTTCATATACTTTCTTCTGTGTTTAGCATTATTTATAAAGTGTGAAATCTAACTTTTCAGTCTGAGAAAAGTGGGACAGGTAAGGAATATGGGACTGCTTTGGGGAGTCATCTAGGGCAGAAGACAGTGCACTGTAGCCTGCAAGACCGGGCTAAAATAGTGCCTTTATAGAATGCGCTGCATGACTAGGGCAATCTTGCTAGGTAACTCTGAGGACATTTGTACTTCTAGATACTTTGGAGATTTAAAATCTGTAGTGTTATGTCTGTGTTTGAGGAGTTATCTGTAGATGATAATCTTGAGGTTAAAAATGCACCTTTGTCCAAGGAAGACAAAGCCCAAGTTTCAAACTGGTATGCAAGCATGACAAGAATACTGTTAAATCAGTATGCAGTAACTATATTGAAATCAGTTGCTTCACTAGGAGGACTTAACCATATAAATATTGAGCTGTTTAATGGTGTTACTGTCTTGAACTTGGTGGGCCACTGAAATTACATTTGTATTTTGATTTCTTATCCTGTAGTCTCTACTTAAGTACACTTAAGTATCCAAATCTATATCAGACAACTAAATATAAAATGAACATGCAGGGCATGCTTGCACCCTGCTTACTATGCTATGTTAGTGAGATCTTAACAGGATGTGTTGGCTGTCATGTTGCAGCTGCTTGTAGTGTTACCGAAATGACTAGGCAACTGGGTTAGAAAGTGGCTTTTGCCTAAATCGGTATTATGTCTATAAATAGGAGAATTCAATGAAAATATGCAAGACATCCTCCTTTCCCAAAGGACTGAATATGCTACTTCTGTAATGTGGCTAGCCATAACAATCAGAACAACATAGCAAATGAAAGAAATTTGTGCGTTTAAAACATTGGGATTAATGATTTTCAACTGCTTTGTTTCTTGTATGGGTTGTTTTTAATGGTATTTGTTATATTTAGCCATATCCAGAAGATCCAGCAGTGTACAAACCACTCTCCCAGGAAGAGCTGCAAAGGATAAAAAATGAAAAGAAACAGAAACAAAATGAGAGGAAACAGAAGATATCAGAGAATCGCAAACATTTGGCTAGTGTACGGGTTGTACAGAAGAACCTTGTCTTCGTGGTAGGGCTATCTCAGCGCCTAGCAGATCCAGAGGTGAGCAGTTCATGCTTGCAGATCTTGATCTTAACTTACAGTTAAGGAACTATTGGAATACCCTTCTGCCCACCCTTCCCTGTCTCCCTGATGGATGCAAAATAAAGCAGCATTGAAAAGGTTCACTTCTGCTGAGGCCCCCTCTTAAGGAAACCTATTCAGCTCCTCCAAAATAGCATCAATAAGTGTTTATCTTTGCTTTTGGGAGTACAGATGCTCTGTTTTTTTGTTAAGGAAATTGTTCTTCGTATTTGTTTAAAAATGACTTGTTGTTAAGCTAAAAATAAGCTTAAGGATTTTTTTTAGGTACTCATTTTCCTAGGCTGGATCTGCTGGCACTTGACAGCTGTGTCATATGCACCAAAAGTTCTAAAATGGGAGTTTGGTTGTATTTTAAAGAAATAAAGTGTAGCACAAACCTGTAGGGGCAGAAGAAAAAGGCCAGCACTTGAAGTGTAACTAGGAAGGAGCATAAGGGTGATGTCAGTTTAGGGGAAAATATTAGTAAGAAGATGACCCAGGAAAGAGCTGGCTTGCTACTCCTGCATTATCAAAAAGAAGCTTTTCGTTTGATAGAACTGATTGTGTTTAGAATTTTTTATTTGCTTTCATCGTCAGTCAGCTTCAGGTTGCTAATGAAATTCGTGCTTATAAGTACCTTGAATTAAAATATGGAGGGAATGTACTATGGGATAAGATAGATGTCTTCAAAAGTACTCTGCAAAGTTAAATTCACCTGATTGGACTAAATTGTCTGGAGAAATACCAAACAGAAGTGTCTGTCAGTTTCTGGGCATTTGCAGAGTAAGGGCTGCATCTTGGTAGACTGGGGAGGAACAAATGTAAAAAGTGCTTTTAGTGGAGGGGAATAAAAGGGAGGCTATAAAGGGAAGAGAAACTGACCTGGTGTATAACACTTGAGTTTCTATAAGGATGTAGCAACAAGTATTTGCAAACAACTGTCAGCATTTCTTAGGTGCTACATATTACTGAAAAATGTATTCAGTTAATTTGACCAGATAGAGGGTTTGTGAGTAAGAGGGATAATAATTTATGCAGTTTTTTTCTTTTTTTTTTTTTGGTAAACCTCAGATAATTCCACACCGAATACTTGAAGTAATTAGAAGTGGGTTTATTGGTGTAGTAAGTGGGGAGGAAATGTTGTACTAGGTTTGGTCATAGCGGTATTTTCAGTGACATAGCAGAAGATAATGCGTACTTACTGAGTATTGCATATAGTACCAAGGTGACTTGAATTCCAAGAAACCTGGAAGCTGAAAGAGGGCAGATTTAGGTCAGATATTAGGAAGAAGTTTTTCACTGTGAGGGTGGTGAGACACTGGAACAGGTTGCCCAGAGAAGCTGTGGATGCCCCATCCCTGGAGGTGTTCAAGGCCAGGCTGGATGAGGCTTTGAGCAACCTGGGCTAGTGGGAGGTGTCCCTGCCCATGTCAGAGGGGTTGGAACTTGATGATCTTTAAGGTCCTTTCCAACCCAAACCATTCTATGATTCTGTGAAACCTAGACTGAAAGAGAGATGAGCTTAAAAAAAAAAAAGTATTCAATATAATTGATTTAAGTTTTCCACTTAAGCAGGCAAAAAACTCCTGCACAAATAAAGAATATTTGGAAGGGGAGATTGACTGCTATTTGCTGTTTCCACTTCTGTTGACATGCTGTTATAAGATTGTGAAGGCCCTGCTGTCATATATTATCAGGAGTATTATCTGCAAGACTCTTGAAGAAACTCTTCCGCTTTACTCAGGATTGTCAGTCTCCTTGGAATGATGCCTGAGGGTGGGTCTAGAATCTTTCGAGAGGGTGTAGATCATGTGAAGAGCAGCCAGAAGAGACCAGTGAGTGGCTGGTTGTCTATACAACATGCTGTGTAGTTCTAGAGGATGTTCCAAATGTGATTAATGCTGGTAAACCTTGAAGACATTGATGGTCCCTTGAGCAAGTTCGTGGCTCAGTACAGTTTAACTGTACTATCCAGGGTTAATATGAAGACAGAGCTAAAGAAACAAATCTTCATTTTAAACCTCACAAATTGTCTAGAACTAAAAATACCCTTAGGTTATCTACCTTTAGTCTGAGTAGTCAGTACTTATGCACCATCTTCCATTACGGGTGTAGAAAAAGAAAGGCTTTTAGTAACAAATGTCTCAGATGTATTGCCAGTTCCATTGGCACACAGGTAACTGTTATTCAACAGAGTTGCTTAATATGCTAGAGGTGTTCCTGCTTTGCACGGGATCCCTAGATGGTGTGTTATTCCTAACTGATGCAGCGAAGGGCAAGACAGGAGTTATTTTTTTTTTTCTTCAGGGATGTGATATTCACTCATTCATTTCAGCATGATGCTGATTCTGAAACGTTTTTTCTTACCCCTGGAAAGTGTCTTAGATTGTCTTTCTGTACTTAGTCTGGTCTTATGAAAACTTGAGGCTATTGTAAGCTATTTGGTTTACTCTTTCTCTTTGGAGTGGGGCAAGCGAGTCAGGATTCAGCATTTTCTTCCTAACAGTTAATACATCTTAATGCAAGTTCAAGATGGTTATTTATTTTAAATCTGGAATGAACGTGATTTTTATTTTTTCCTGGAATTATAAAATAGGTACATCCCATTCAGCATGAAATACAACATAAATGTGGGATATTCTGTATTTTAAGTTCTTTACTGCAGTAGTAACATGCTCTGTATTGGAAGCAACCATGTTTTACACTGGAAAACAAATCTACATCTTCATGCTCTCCTCCTCTTTGTAGAAGAGAGCTGTTTTTTGTTAAGGGCTTTAGTTGCAGAGTTACACAGATGAATAAGTACAGCCCTGTATGAATTACCTTTCCTGTATAATACTTTAAATTTATTTTCTTGTAGGTTTTGAAACGACCAGAATATTTTGGGAAGTTTGGTAAAATACATAAAGTTGTCATTAATAACAGCACATCATATGCAGGCTCACAGGTAAGTCAGAGGCCCTTGTGATTTATTTTTTTTTAATTCCTTTAGAGAAAATACATGTGTGCAGAGTGAATATGGGGCTTTCTATTTGTGATTAACCAACAGGTTAAAGAAGTAAAAAGAAAAAAATACAGCATTGCAAAAAATCAAATTGCTGTTAAGTTACTGAGGCATTGTCCAACCAGACTCTCAAAGCTGGGTGCAAGATACAATGTATAAAGATTAAAAGCTAGGAGATAAGATGAAAACATTCAAAGAAGCAGCAATGTGGCATTTATTCACTAATCTGCATTTTGGGGATAAAAGACCTTTTTAGAACTTAGTATTTTTAGAACTATCAAGCAGCATTTTGATGCATTCCTTCTTTTCTCCATTCTTCATGCATTACATCTAAATTTTATGAATTCTACCATTTTTGTCAGTTTTTCTGTTAAAAACATCTACCTCTGAATATCAGTTTATAAAGTGAGCTGGTAAAAGACATCTGTGTTGGGGGAGAAAAAAATAAACAAAATATGGTATGTTTTCTTTCTAGGGTCCAAGTGCCAGTGCATATGTAACCTACATCCGGTCAGAAGATGCTCTCAGAGCCATACAGTGTGTCAATAATGTGGTGGTAGATGGCAGAACACTTAAGGTGGTAATATTTTTACATTCTTATATATGTGTGCTAGGACACTAATATCAGTGCATAGTATAAAATTTTATTTGTATGGATATGTTTGTGTTGATGAACAAAAATGTCCAGTTTATTGGGTATTGGGCTTTGACCTACTTTCCTAGCATTAATCACAACATGGAAGTTCAGTGAGCTTCCAGCAGGCAGTGTTTTAGGGAGTTAACAGGTACCTTCTTAAAGCAAAAGTTTGAGATAAAGAAAAAGATGCACCATCTCCCCCTTCCCACAGTGGCTTTTTTGCTGTATTGCTTCATAGCACAGTTTGGACACCTGATTATTTACTTTTACAGAGCATTTCTGTAGTCAAAACACCACACCTCTCAAAAGCTCCCTGGGAATTGCAAGTTTTTTTCTTTCGTTATCTGTGCAAATAGGTATTCAGGCTGACTTGGCCAAATTGGTGGCTATAGAAAATTATCTAGTTAATATTAATTTCCTGACTCTGCTACAAAATATTAACCCGTGTGATGTAATACAAACTCATAACTACTTATTTGGCTTATGATTATGAAGGCAAGTATTTACTGGGGCTCTTATTTTGGTGTTTAGATTGGATGAAAATAGAAATGCATCCAAATTATCTAATCCTCAAGTTTATAGATTTCTTACAAATGGACTTCGTAGTCCATCTGCATCAAAAAATGCATTATGATGGAACTCCGTATCTTGGGAAGGAATTTTTTTTTGCAAATGTAGTTTTTTTCTTGTACTGTAAAAGGCATTCTAAACCTCCAGTTTACTTAAGTTTTGGGTTTTTTTTTCTTCAGGCATCATTAGGTACAACAAAATATTGCAGTTATTTTCTAAAAAATATGCAATGTCCAAAACCAGACTGCATGTATCTACATGAGCTGGGAGATGAAGCAGCCAGTTTCACAAAAGAGGAAATGCAGGTAAGTGTAATGAATGGGAAACACATGAAATGTGGCATGTATGTATTTTATAGTATATAGTTTAGTTTAATATGTGTATAATGTAACCTTTTGCTTAATGTTATGGCAGAGGTGAATTTTGAAATGCAAAAGGTGATTAACCAGTTGGATATCGGAAGTGAACAGATAATTTTTTTCATTGCACACTGCTTTTAAAAGCTGAAAAGTCCACTAAGTGTTCATGAGCCAAAAAAAATTGAAACAAATGCTTAGCCAAGAAATCAAATAACCTTGAGTTAGATGCTTACCCTTTGTTCGTACCAATAGAATGTAACATGTTATTTTAAATCTCTGTGAAAGATGTTAGTGCAGATCTTGGTTTTCCTGTAGGATTTGTGTGGGGCCAGTTATTATGGATTAAGTGTGGTGTTGTAATTTGACTATGCTATCTGAATTCTGATATCTCTTTTAGCTTGTGAAGGGTGTAGAAACTGTTTGGAAATAAAACATTGAGGGTAACTGTAATAGAGCATAAATACTGATGCAGGGATTTTTTTACCATCTCAACATCAAAGTTCT